CCNCNCCTATCCCCTCGTCGTGCCTTCGGCAGTCTCAGTTGCAGCTCTTCAACTTCAACGTGCGCCATTCACGATCCATCTCGTCCAACTTGACTACTTTCCTCCGCCCGAGCCCCCCGCCACCACCCCGGCGCCCAGCCGCAGCCGCACCGCAAAACTCAAACACACACTCTTGTACTTGTACCCCACCCGCCTCGACCCCTCCTTCATCGGACTCAACACTTGCACCCTCTCTCTCTCTGCTCCTCTGTTCGCACCTCCATCAAAACGACGGACGAAAGGCGATCCAGCAACAAATCCAGCGTGCATCGGCTTCTTCAGGTGAGATTAACGTCGACTGGTCGTATGTGGGCAAGGTGGTGTGGACGAGGTCCGCACTTTGATACCGGGGGGAGGAGGGAAGCGCGGGCGTATGTCTATCCAAATAGCGGGCGGGCGGGTGGTCGATCCTAGAGACGAGGGGAGACATCCCGGGATGGTTTATCGAGAAGAGGCTTGGAGAGAACAGGTCGGGAGCGGGACGGGACGAGCTACGTGGAGGTCGGTCGGTGACAGAGGTGCGGACCGGGAACAAGACAGGCGGGGTCGAAGATTAAGAGGGGGAGGGTATGCGTCGAGGCCGACGGGGTAAAGGGAGCCGGGAGCGGGAATAGGAGGTGCTGGATGGGTAGCTTGACCGGACGGCGGGCAAGGGATCAGCGCAAGGATCCATCACCAAGGCTGCTGCTGCTGCTGCTGCTGCTGTTCCCCTCGTTCCGTTGGGTGAAAGTCGGGCGATGGGTTGGCAATGGCCGCCGAGATGCTCGCCACGTTCTCGGGACACGAGGCGCGCCGGTCCTGGGCGTAGTCGTCGGGGAACAGGGACGAGGCGGCCGTCATGGCCGAGCCGGGCAGCTCGTGCATCCCGCCCGACGCCGTCGCGGCGTCCGACAGGTCAGAGGTCAGGCCAGAGGGGTAGAAGCTGCCGCTTTCGCCTTGGTGGTGCTGCTGGTGCTGCTGGAGCTGCTGCTGATGGTGGTGGTGGTGGGGGTGTTGCGGCTGCTGCTGGTGCTGCTGCTGGTGCTGCTGAGGCGAGTAGGCGAGGCGGCTGTACCTCTCGTCAGCCGTCGATGCCGACGGTGCGGCGCGGACGCCGCCGCCCCGCTCCTGGAGGTGCGAGGCCGGCTGCGGGAAGCCCGAGTCGTCGTGGTGATAGCGGTTGAGCTGGACGCCAAACGTCAATTCGTTGGCGCGCACGTCGTTGCTGCTGCTCGACGAGGCGTGCTGCTCGCGGCCGCCACCAAGCCACAACGGCTCCTCGAGGTGGTC